GGGGAAAGAAACCAAACTCATATTAACGATACCAACTTACAGCCATGTTCTGAACTAAACTACCCTGAACCACATCCCACAGCCATGTCAATAAACTAAATCTAAACGTACCCAGAGTGTATGACAGATGAATGGAAATTAGCCCCCAAGCCAGACTGAAAATAGTAAAATATCCTTGTTTTAGACAGATAGAAAATATTATGTTATATTTATATAGGTTTTTTTATATTCTGTATTTATATTCTGTTTATAGGTTTATTAATACCAGTAGTATTGATGTTCTATTTATAGGTTTATTAATATCAGCAGTATTTATGTTCTATTTATAGGTTTATTAATACGAATATACCATACCAGCAATATATATGTTCCATTTATAGATTAAATAATACCAGCAGTATTTATATTCTATTTATAGCTTTATTATTACCAGCAGTATTTATATTCTATTTATAGATTTATTAATACCATACCAGTAGTAGTTATGTTCTGTCTCTGGGTTTAATAATACCAGCAGTATTTATGATCTATTTGTAGGTTAATTAATACCATACCATCAGTATTTATGTTCCGTTTATAGGTTTATTAATACCATACCAGCAGTATTTATGTTCTTTTTATAGGTTAATTAATACCCGCAGTATTTATGTTCTATTTATAGGTTAATTAATACCTGCAGTATTTATGTTCTATTTATAGGTTAATTAATACCCGTAGTATTTATGCTCTATTTATAGGTTTATTAATACCCGCAGTATTTATGTTCTATTTATAGGTTTATTTATGTTCTATTTATAGGTTTTTTAATACCCGCAGTATTTATGGTACCTGTTCTATTTATAGGTTAATAATACCCATAGTATTTGTTTTATATTTATAGGTTTATTAATACCCGCAGTATTTATGGTAGCAGTAGCTTACAGTGGATGTAATCATACCCTGGCTGTTGTATTACTAACATTTGCTGTAGGGACTGGTGGCTTTTCCATGGCAGGCTACCAAGTTAACCATCTAGATATAGCACCCAGATTTGCAGGTAAGTTTTGGATAACGAATTCTTGATAAGTGTTTACCCAGATTTACAGGTAAATTTTGGATACCGAATTCTTGATAAGTGTTTATGTACAAACGTCTTTGCGTCGGATTAATGCATTTTTGTCATTACTTTACTTTTTTTATTCTAGAGTAATGCCCCTTTAACAAACATTAAAATATTATGGCGTGATATTTATTTTCAGGAACATTATTTGGTATAACTAACGGCATTGCTACAATTCCTGGTTTTCTAGCACCGTTAGTTGTTGGTATTTTAACAAACCATCAGGTATTTAACACATCTTGTACTTATGTATAGCCAGTTAACTTTGGGTTTCGTTGTTGATTGGCCTTTTTAGCCCTTGTTTTGGGGGTTAATTTTAGAGACAATATTTAAATATAAGGTAACCGTTAGTTTCTTGGAAGCTGTTCCGTTTGAATACAAACCCTTTGCAATATATTGATTCAGTTAAGTACTAATTCCAGGGTGCTACTGTATTCTATTTCAGATAAGTTCTTTACAATCTGGCGGACAATGTGGATTTCCTGTTGCCAAATGGAATGTGATTCAGTTCATTAACTGTGGTTTTCTTGTTTCAAATATAATTTGAATGTGAGTGGGTCTTTAACTGTAAGGAGTAGGGTCGCCTGTCCAACCTCGTGGGTTTTCTCCGGGTCCTCTGGTTTTCTTCCACTGCTAAAGACCCATTATTGAAATAAAAAAAATTAAACCATATGTTAGTCCCGAAATGACCTAGTTTTGTCAGTAGACTTACCCCCCCCCCTCTCTCTCTCTCTCTCTCTCTCTCTGTGGTTGTCTTGTTTCAAATATAATTTGAGAGACATTAACTGTGGTTGTCTTGTTTCAAATATTATTTGAGCGGGCCTTTAACTGTGGTTGTCTTGTGTTAAATATAATTTGAGGGCCTTTAACTGTGGAATATTTGATTTTTTACAGGAAACAAGTGAACAATGGAGGAAGTTTTTCTACATAACATCAGCTATATATGTAGTAGGTGCTGTCATATATCTGGCATTAACTAAAGGGGAGGAGTTGGATTGGGCCAAGTCACCAGATAAGACAATAATTGTTGAACCAGCTACAGATACAAAGAATATACAGTCCCAAGTTTTACCATATGATTCAGACAAAATTCCAATATTAACATAACATTACAGAGAGTGTGTGGCTTGTATATGGGTGTGTGTGTGTGGGGGGGGGGGGGGTGCGTGTGGGTGTGCGTGTGTGTGTGACGAAGATGATAATTTTGGAATTATTTCTAGGGTTGGGAGGGGGTATAACAATTTTTAAATAATGTCCTGTGCCATTGATGCTGTGTTATGTAGAGAGATCGGATTGCGGTTACCTTTCTAGGTTTTCTCTGATAGTTTCTAGAGGTATAAGGAATGAGGTGGGAAGTCTTTTCGGTCAGTAAAATTCAGAGTTGAGATTTCGAGACTTTCCCCCGATTAGAATTCTGGTCATAAGTTGAGAAGAATTTAGAAAATGACAAAATACCTAAACGTGACAAAATACTGTAAAAATTTTCGAAGACAATCTATTTTTTTTTTCCAAAATATTAGACATTTTAATTCCATATCATCTGCTGAATATATTCTTAGACGTATACGGCACGACATTCCAGTTTTCTTTCGTATCAGATTTTTTTTCTGTTCCGAAATTCAGTCTAACATAACTCTTCCCAATCACAGTATTATCATTATAATTTTCTGTTCCAAAATTTCAGTCTAACATAACTCTTCCCAACGACAGTATTATCATTATGTTCTGTTCCGAAATTTCAGTAATAACATAACTCTTCCCAACGACAGTATTTACTATATTTTATGTAAACTTTCAATTTCATATCATTCTTCAGAAGCGTGGATATCAGATTCCACTCGATTTATCTTTTCCCAACCGATCTTTGGTTTCTCAAGAATACACGGACGGGTGAACTTCACATTTTGGTCAGTGTCTAATTTTATGATGCAATCAATTCATTTGTGTTACTCACAATCAAATTAAAATAATCGTATATTTATTTCAGTTCGTTGATTCTGAGATTTATCGTATATTTATAATGACCGTCGTTCAAAAGTCTGTGTTATGCACGAAACTGCAGATGAGGTATTGGTGTGATATGAAGAGTTGCGGTGTGATTGGCGGTTCACATAGTGGGGTCGACATGGGGAAACGCACGATTCTGACCATACTAAACTTAGGCTGTATGTCTACGGTTAGCTCCCCTTGAGAACAGACTATAAGCTAGTTGAATGATATTTTAGGTCCTAAATCGACGATTTTAGTCGAAAAGTATACTGTGAAAATTTTGAGAAGTATTTATTCTGCTGTTTTCATTTAATGAAATTGAATAGATGGAGTTAGTTTTTGTGTGTATACCAGATGTGAAACAGTTGGATATGGTGGCCATTCAGGGCAGAGATTTATTCTCGAGGTATGAAGTAGATGGATCGATGTGTGCAGACTGGACTGTGACGAGTTTATGAATAAGTCTTGGCGTGATAGGAAGAGTTGTGTTATTGACTGGCTGTTCATATTGTGAGGTCTACTCAACACTGATAAAAGCAGTCAGATGTTGAGTAAAATATAAAACAAGGAATACGAAACGGAAGAATGCCACAGGCATGCAGAAAAAACATCTGAATTTACTTGTTAAAAGTACCAATCTGATCAAAACACAGATCCTATTTCGTTTCGTTTTTTATAGTTAAAAATTTCGTTTTATTTGTCTGTACTCCACTAGGATCTGGAAGAGTTGTAAAACAACAGGCGTTCTTGATGGGGTGAGGGATTAGCCAATGAAACCATCTTGGCGTGCATAAACCACTAGAAACGTCAACGCTGATTGGTTGATCAATGTCTGAAGTCATGGGGTCAAAAGCCGCTCGTACGACCACTGACACGACCTTCCAGTACAATCGGTCAGATCTCCGTGTAGTGTAGCCATCGAAAGTATTAAAAAAAACGAAAAGCCGGGTCAAAAGCCGCTCGTACGACCCCTGACGCGACCTTCCAGTACAACCGGTCAGACCTTCATGTAGTGTTTTCATCGAAAGGATTAAAAAAAAAAAAAACGAAATATAGATCCGTATTTTAATCAGACTGGAAATATACAGAGATTCATAAACAGTTGTCTTAGAAGTATCTTAGTATAAGATGGTCAGATCGCGTCGCAACTGCGGGAAAGAATAAACCCAAAAAATATTCGTGGCTCCACCAAAAGGAAATGTGTAAAGATTCATGCATTTTCTCATATCACACGTTGATTGTTCGGCGTCATACAAGAATGAAACATACTGATATTGAGAATGCTTCTGGTGGGTGTAGTATATTCGTCACCTGGTAATGGAGAGTTAAGCAACTTGTGTAAACCAATTAAAATACGGATTAAATTGTTTTATTAGTTGGGAGGTCAGGAGCTCGATCCCGGTGTTGGCTCGTAAGTCTGTAATTGGGTCAAGGGGCGTGGTTTCGAATCCCAAGCTTGTGGCGTGACAAACAATAGGGTCAGTTGAATTTTCTCCGCAGTCCTCCGAGCGAGTGTATTATTGAAATACTATTGTACCGAATGCTATAGCTGAAGTGACCTAGTTTGTATTGGATCTCTCTCTCTCTCTCTCTCTCTCTCTCTCTTTCCTGGTTGTACGTGACAAGGAGTAGGGTCGCCAGTCCAACCTCGTGAAGTTTCTCCGGGACCACCGGTTTCCCCCACTGCTAACGACCCTACGCGAAAGCGAATAATTGATATAAAATTGAACCATATATGTTGGTTCCGGAATGACCTGGTTTGTGTCGAGTGGACGTTAAACCCCATCTCTCTCTCTCTCTCTCTCTCTCTCTCTCTCTCTCTCTCACTCTCCCCCCTCTCTCTCTCTCTCGTGCTCGCTGGTGACCGTTCGCCAATGTCGATTGTACAGATAAGACAGACATTAAACCCATTTCAATGCTTTAATACTAAATATACATCATATATAGCACGTACAGTTAGAAAGTTGGAACAATTATCATTATGTATAGAAAATATATTTACTGTAAATATGACGAGTATAAACGAATACGAAACCTAAGACATTTAGGTCCTCACAAAAACCTTTAGTTTAAAATGAGGTTTTTTTAATTTGTTGGTCGTTTCCTCGAAACTAAGACGACAATTTTAATATGTTGTCCCGAAAAAAACAAAATTCAAATTAATCTGAGCATATTGTCAAATATTAAAACATTACAATCGACATATTAAATTATACTATAATAATTGTATTTAAAGGAACGTGAGACAGATTCATGAAGTTGTAATAAAATTTTCAGAGGTTGTCTGTCTTGTTCACGGACATGCGTGGGTATAGCTACGTTAACAGTGGGTATAGTTTGAAACCCACGGACATGACAAGAGCGGGTTCAGGAATTATTGCTATTAAGGGAATGGGTACAGTGTTGTAAAAAAGAAGTGAACATATTTTTGACTTTATGCCAAGGTTGGAGGGACTTTCCCAAAATACAATACGTGGGCAATATATCAAGACATAGGCTCGATGATAAAGAATGAGAATACAAATCACTAAATAGGTCCTTCTTTTTTTTACGTGGAATTCCTGACTTATTGCGAAGTCTTTGTGATGCTCAATTTATTGTGTCCCGTATTACGTTAATTAAAGATTTTTTTTTGGTGGATATCGATTTAGGATCATAACTTATATATTTTATTTATCCGCGGTATTACCGACATCCTAAAACTGAATGTCCACTAAATCGTAAACATATAACCTCATGTGCGAACTCCAACAACAGAAGACCACCTCGTGGACTTTATCATGCCTCTGTATACAAGAATACGCTGTCTCGTGGACGTCTCCTATCACACCCTCTTTAGGAAAACAACAGTAATAAAGTTTGTAGATGGAATTATATTTGTTGAGTTATGTTAAAGTAGTCTGTATCCAGTCTCTGTATTTCCATACTTCAAGTTTATTATGATAGAACACTGTAAAATAGATGAACATGTCAAAGAAGCTAAAATGAAATCAAATGGCGTATAACGTCCTACTTTTTTCCGTGAACCGAACATTTATTCGGGCACCTAGACTACGTCCTACTCTTATTTTAAATTACAACATTGTTGCCCAGGATTCTTTAACATACTCGAACCTTGGGTTTTCGTGCTATCCGAAGGACTAGACAAGGTTCCCTGCCAAGCCCGTCGTCCTGTAGTTCAAGGAACTAAAATCTACTTGGTTTACTATTGAATTGAGTTGATCTGGTGTGCTACAAGCTCTGCACGATAACGTTTTTGTAGCGAACAATTACACTCAAGTTGACTTTTTTTCATTTTGTGGCTAGTGTCTGGAAATAGGAAAACACAATCTATTTATCGACGGGCGCCAAAGAAAATTAGTTGTTTTAATGCAAGATGCAAGAGTAATGAACCCTGAATTAAACTCTGAAATGTTAATTTTACTTACCATCCTGCACGGCCACCAGGTGGATCCCATTCCGCTAGAATTCTTATTAAAAATTCACCTTCGTGTGAGTCAGCCAAACAATATGGCACTAGTATATAACCCCCGGGGTCAAGGTCAAATCTAGCATTGACCTCTCTAACCTCTGCTTGACCATCCAACTGACCAACCATCTGCAATTTAGACAGGTGACGTTTATCATCTCTGTCTATATTCTTAGCCTGAAAGACAAGAATCTATACTTACTCAACTGGCAACGAAATCAAATCAAATGAGGTTTGACGTATTACTTTTCTAAAAGAAATTTGACTATAACAATATGAATTGCGTTTAACGTCCACACAAGCTATGTCAATTAGGAACTAACATATGATATAACTTCGATACTCCGCCAATGAACAGGTGTTTGAAGAAATCCTATGACATTCTGGACTAATATATAGTGCATGTATATCGTCAATAATTCACGTCTCCTTAAAGGACAACATTGGTGTCAGCCATTATCATGTGATAGAACTGGTTAAACACATTCCAAATAATTTAATTTTAACACAGAGATCATTGCTACGACAGATGCGTGACGAAGATTTCAAGAAACGGAAGTGACGAAGCAGAAGGAATTCACGAGGAACCAGCGATTTCTGCTCACTGGTAATTCCTTCGAAGACCAAATGTTATATGAGACCGTGAAAGGATATCTGACAATTCAAAAAGATAACTGAATGTCACTAGGTAAGAGAAAACGAGAAAAATAGAAATAGTCCGTACAATCCACTGTTTTTATTCATTCTATACTTAATAAAAACAAGATAATGCATGGACTGATTCTAGGTTTCCGTTTTCACTTATCTAGTGACAGTAAATTCCTAGTATTTTATCCTACTTTCATCTGTCAATGACAGTTCTATCTTTATCAACGAGGGTGATATCGCACACAAATATTTCCTAAGAAATGTGTTAAAAGAGGCGATCGTGTTTGCGAGACTAGCACAACATAGGGTAGGATGAGAGGGTGATAAAATAAACTCACAGTCGACATACTGTAGCTAACACAACCCAATTTAGTAGACTTAAATGCTCTTGGATTTGAACTTTCCCATAATAGTCAAGGCGCTGAATTGACATTCAGGTAGTTTAAGATGACCTCTTTCGAATAAGAGTGGGACACACGCGATTTGACCTTATTTTTAGCAGCCATTTTGAATTCATTGTGAGATTTTGGCTATTTGAGATACACGATGTGATAGAATAATGACCCAAGAGTCGAAATCAATGTTTAGCACCCATTGAATTCATCAGGAGTACTTGTACAAGTTGAAACTTGTTGGATATAATATATACCAGTCTAAAATTCAATGAACGGAGCATTTCAGCGAAATTCTTCTAGTTTTTATATCATGTCGTGAAGCTGGAATAGGCAAAATCCCACATTTCAGAAGCGGCCATTTTGCATCCAGAACCTAATTAACATTTTAGTTTAATCAGATTGAGATATGTGCCAGTCATTAATAGATGAGTTATTTCCTACAAGTCGTAAACCAGTTAAAGGATATGGTCAACATGACTGGGTTGGCAATGTCGGGATGAACCAGCAATGGGCCAGGGTGGGGATAGATATGGTGGAGGGGTGGGAAGAAGAGAACTGACCACTTCAAACAATTGAATTTGCAAAGGAGTGCTACTACTCATGTTGCAGTGGTTAATAGTGAGTGTTCGTTAGTTAGTGGGATCCATCGTCCAGTTCAACCTTAGACAGAATTCTGCTTTTGTTTCAATATTTCGCTCGTTCGTTTGTGGTACTGTCTACAGTAGAATCTGCATTAAGCAGCCACCCAAGGGAATTTTCACAACTGACCGCTTAACAGGGGTGGCCTCTTAATAAAATCTCGTTGCTTTTTGTACGGACATAAATTAAATATTACGCTTGGATGCATTGGAAGCGGTAAATTTGGCCGTCGCTGAATCTTGCGCCGAACGAAAATTCTTTACTCAAATCTCGGACATAACTTAACGGGAGTGGCCTCTTAATAAAATCTTGCTGCTTTTTGTGCTGACAAATTAAATATTACGCTTGAATGCATTGGAAGCGGTAAATTTGACCGTCGCTGAATCTTGCACCGAACGAAAATTCTTTACTCAAATCTCGGACATAACTTCTGTAAACTTGTCATTTTGTACCAACCTTCGATACTACTGTCTACCATTGTGATGCATTCGATAATATTTATCCATTTTTGTGAAGAAAATCGATGAATTAATTTTATTTTATCAAAAAAGCACATGAACAAAAAAACATCGCTAATTTTATCACCTATTTACAGGGGGTGTGACTCTGTATGTAATATTATAGGAGGCGCTAAGAGAGATACTAGATGATCGTGACAAAACTCGGTACTTTTATTTTATTCAATCAGTATCAAATAATGTGTCGTTACGCGTGAAAACAATGATCAGGTTAGTCGTTTAATAAAACAAAAGATTAATTAACAGATAATCCCGGGTTGTTATTTTTACATTTCTTTTTACCTGATCAGTGGGGGTCCAGTTAATTAACTACTACTCACGGGATTAGCGGGGGATGTTTTGTTGAATTTATTAGTAAAATAGTGACCGCTGGCCGCGTTAGAGGAGTGACCGTTGAATAAAGAGATGAAACAACAGAATTTCTACGGGGGGAATTTATCGTGACCGCTTACAAGGAGATGTCGCTGAATAGGAGTGGCTGCTCATACAGATTCTACCCTTTCATCGAGGGTGATACCCAGCCAAGACAGAAGTGTGTTCGTTCGCGGGCCTTAACGTCGGCTTACATCGAGGGTGAATCAAGACAAGCCAAAAGTGTGTTAGTTCGTTCTTGGTTCTTAACGGCTGCTTCCACTACAGGGTAATATTGCAAACAAGAGAAAGGTGTGTTCGTTCGTTCTTATGGGATTAACACCCGATTCCAGCGAGTGTTATATCCAGCCAATACACAGGAGTGTTCTTCTTCTATTAGTGTTTAACGTCCGCTGCCACCGATGGTGATATCGCATCGCAGACAAGTTGTCTTATTTTATTATGCTTAGCGCATGCGCGCGCAGGTGCTTTCCTGAGTATCCAGAGTACCCGGAGTAAACCTATGCGATTCAGAAGGTGTCCTATCTCCAAACCACATACACTCACACCAGGGATCGAAACCACGAGGTGACCGGCCCGCTAGACTCTAGATCACTAGTCCATCCCAACACGGGGGGTTGGATGGCTGAATGGTTAGCGTGCGCGCGCTGTATCATAAAGTCTGTCATTGAGTCGACTGGCGTGGTTTCGAATCCCCGGTTGTACGTGACAAGGAGTAGGGTCGCCTGTCCAACCTCGTGGGTTTTCTCCGGGTCCTCCGGTTTCCTCCCACTGCTAAAGACCTCTATGCGCAAGCGAATTATTGAAATAAAATTAAACCATATGTTAGTCCCGAAATGACCTAGTTTGTGTCGAGTGGACGTTAAACCCCATTTCTCTCTCTCTCTCTCTCTCCATCCCAACACCCGCTAAATATTACCTTATATAGACAAAAACCTATTGGAAGTAGCAGACTGTTGGCTGTTGATGGTCCGTGACGATAGTCCTGCAGTAACGATATAACCACGTGACGTTTACCATTCATCCTCGGAGTTAAATTAGGATCGACAATGTCATTAGTTCTTGTGATAGAGAAGAGTATTCTGGGACTTCTAGAGTGGGCATCCATATCTGCTCTTGATACTCCCTGTCTATCTCCTATAAATTAAACAAAGAAAACTCGTGTTAGATAAATACCTTGAATACGATCTAGAGTACATATCAATACGTGTTTTATGGTAGCGCCTCTGTCAAGCTAAAGTGACTACACTGTCTGGCGTATGCCCGTCTTCATTATTCCGGTTGGTGCAAATAATTAGGACGTTAAACCTAACTGATATACAGTAAAGCAAGAAAATGATGCGTGTAAGAGATTTAGCGTGTAGGATATTTAGCGTGTAAGATATTTAGCATATAAGATATCTAGCATGTAAGATATTTAGAGTGTAAGATATTTATGCATATAATATATTTAGCGTGTATTATATTTAGCATATAAGATATTTAGCATGTAGGGTATTTAGCATGTAAGATATTTAGCGTGTAAGAGATTTAGCGTGTATGATATTTAGCGTGTAAGATATTTAGCATGTATGAGATTTAGCGTGTAAGATATTTAGCATGTAAGATATTTAGCGTGTAAGATATTGAGCATGTAAGATATTTAGCGTGTAAGATATTTAGCGTGTAAGATATTTAGCATGTAAGATATTTAGCGTGTATGATATTTAGCGTGTAAGATATTTAGCATGTGAGATATTTAGAGTGTAAGATATTTAGCGTGTAAGATATTTAGCGTGTACGATATTTAGTGTGTTAGAGATTAAGCGTGTACGTAAAAGAAACCTTGGCAGTTGACAATTCTATGACGAGTAGGGGGAAACGCCTCGGTCTGGTCATTTTCCTTAGCGTGCATGGTAAATACAAACTATTCTATGATCCACGCATTCCATTCAATTCGTTTGCAAATATATCTCTTGTGCCGATCTACGCTGAATTCCACTTGACTATAGCCCACATTATGACTGTTAAAGTATATTCGGATAATCATGGCGTTATATAATAACCGAAAACATTTGCGTTTTTAAACTTTAAATTTCTTGGTGAGCCGAATAGTATACGGTTCACTCTACTTACTTGTCCAACAATCTTTATGTTCAAACAAAATCCTCCATCTTCCCTGACATTTAAAAAAGTCGGTTTTTGTGGCAAGAAAATGGCTTTGGGTCAGAGATCCTATTGAACCCTCCGAATTATTCCTTGGTGCTCCCGGGGCTGGGGCACTGCGGGGTCGCTGAGCGTCATCACCGGTTTGTCCTGATTGAAAATGGAGGGAAATTTCCGAAGCGCTAAAAACACTGTCTTGGTCTTGCACCATATTTGTCATACGTCCTTTAACACGCACTTGTCCGTCTTTACACTGCATGGCACCGTTCTTTGTTACCGTGGCAACACAACTTGAAATGGGCAACGTTTCATCACGACTCTTTAAATCCTTCATATTACTGTTCACATCCTCGTTCCTGGGCAGCGTTTCGTTAGTGTTCGAATCTTTACGAACGGCCTTCTTAGACATACTGTTGCTGCTTTTTGAATGTCGGAAATTCATTTTAAATTTGGAATGGTGAGATCGAGTGTTTTCACTGTTCAAAGGGTCGGTTTTAATAGATTCGTCAATTTCCGTCTTACTTGAAATTTCTAAACGGTGGTAATCGTTATTTAGCGACGAACCGTGCTTTGTCACACTGTGCAGACCCTTTGAAGCATTGTCTTTAAGATTCAAAGATTCTCTGTGATCGACAGCTAGCTCATTCTTAGAATTGTCCACCTTGCGCGAATGTCTAGCTTCTCGCACAGCTAAATGACTTATATTTGTAAAGTTCTTGCTTTTGTTTCTGTAACCGAAACACGTGGACGGCGCAACTTTCAGATTTGGTTGTGCTTGTTGTTTCGTATCAATTGTATAGCGCTCCCGGGTCATTCCAGACTTGCTAGAATCATTTGGATCGGGTACCGATTCGTTCGGGCGAACACAGAATCCGTTTTCTTGACGATACTTCCGTTCAAGTCTCAGACCATCCGTCGTGAATGGTTCAGTACTACTAATTACAAATACACCCCCAAAATTACACCGGAAGTCCTCCATTGTTAACCAATATTCATCGTCTTCCTTTCTGGACAATGGGCGGAAATTCTCTTTGAAATCGGAATTGATCGTGTTCCAAGATTTAGAATCTCTGAAAAAAAAAGATGGCCCAAATTAAATAACATATGATATTTATACATATTTATTTTTCCTTAAAACGCATCAAACACTCAGCGTATTGCTTTGATCTAACAGACATTTTAGTCCTAAGCCAATCAAAATAGAGTATCCTTAAAAAAGTTTAGTTATACTTCTTGTACAAAGTAAAACTACCATAACAGTAAATAAATTATAAAAATCTAACTTACAGTTCTGAGAACCGACCGATCCATTTTGGTTCTTTAGGAAAAGGACATTTTATTCTCACCATGTCTATACTTCTTCGATCTGTCATCGGGAACTACAACAAAATATTCATAAATAATAATAATAGTAATAATATTGGTATAGCGCCAAATCCACAAAAATGAAATGAAATGAACTGGGGTTTAACGTCCTGCTGTTTTGCTCCGAACAGCGGCCCTACGGCGTACCCTTATATCGAATTCCAACTGTCAAGGGATCTTTTACGTGCACACCAGGGATCTAACACCCGACCTCCAGGCTAGCGAGCCAGCGTCTTACCAACTTAGCCACCGTGACCCCCCGCCCCCAAATCCACAAAAGGTACTCATACCTTTAATGAATGTATAAGTTCTATGTAATTTTGTATTTTTAAAATGTGAAAAAAAGTGGGTTTAAGCGTCCTACTTTTCTGCACATATAAAGAAGGGCACCAAGCCACGGCGACCCCCTCCGTGTTTTCATTGGCGATTTAAGACCCATTGAAAAAACATCCAGATGGTAAGCAAAACTGGTTCCGGTAATATACAAAATATAAAACCAATTAAAAAAAAAATGAAATGAAATAGGGTTTAACATCCTATTCTTCCCCATCGATTGGGATAATGAAGTGGGGGTATGCCTGCAGTGTGTTATGGGGAACATTTCGCTGAGACAGCGGCGCTACAGCCTACTCTTATATCGAATTCCAACTGTCAAGGGCGCTTTTACGTGCATGCCAACGTGTACACAGGACCTCGGTCTTTGGCACATCCGAACGACTAGACACTGTCTTTGCCAGGGCCTCCGTCCTGCACTATTGACAACGGGAAACCTCGTTGGAAAATCCCAGGGAATTTTCCATACCAACAACGGGATCGAACTCATACTAAACTTAGGTTGCATGTCTACAGTTAGCTCCACTTGAGCACAAGCACTAAGCTAGTTGGCCGACATTTTAAGTCCTAAATCGACGATTTTAGTCGAAAAAACTAAGTATACTTCGAGAATTTTGAGAAATATTTATTCTGCTTCCATTTAATGGAATCGAATAGGTTTATTTAGTCTTCGTGTGTATGACAGATGTGAAACGGAGTAGAACCGCATTACAAAACAATATACGAAGTTTTGGATATGGCGGCCATTCAGGACAGAGATTTATTCTCGAAGTATGAAGTAGATGCATCTCTGTATGCAGAATGGATCGAACTGTGACCAAGCGCCGTACGAATTGACAAACCCTAGCGGAACATGTAATTTGTAGTAAAATAATAGAAATGTCTTGTATATATGAACAGATATGTTTTAAAAGTGGGCCCACCTTTGTAACGGCTGTGATTAGATGTAAATATCGTTTAGAATCATCACAAACATCAAACGATTCCTGTAACAACAAATACAAGTATTATATAAAATTAACGGATCGCCAACGCCAATCAAACTGGCGTACGGACATGACATCAACCAATCACAGTATGTCTTCGTTGTCAGATAATAAGTGACTCCATTTTCTCCGATAATCAGAATATAACTTTAGAATCTGCAACAAACACATTTAAAGAGGAAGTATGTAAGATGTATAGTTACGAATTTAAGACCCAGTCAGCTACTGACGGTAACAAACACATTTAAAGAGGAAGTATGTAAGAGCTAAATATGTCTATATTGCAGACCTATTTTAGGGTTTAGGGTATAAATTATTATTTAAACATTTATTTTCAAGACAAGCCCATAATCAACTCTCTAGGTTATCGAATAGCCGAGATATTAAATGGATTAAAACATCCGAGCCATTTAATAATTTAACGTTAAAATGGATAATCGAGACTTGTGTATTGTCGTAGCAACGATACTTGACAATTCGCTCGGAATAAAGCAATTTAATTGAAATTTTCAATATATTCATTTTTTCATTAAAGATACATTATGGGAGATTCGGTAACGAGTTGGCAGTTCTCACTATAATAGTTAAAAACTAGATAATGTAAAGGCAATTTGGTGAAAATTTCATTCAAATTGATCCACTATGAACCGAGAACTAAGCGACTGAAATTCCCATAAGCCTCGGTCATCATTACTAAAGTCAGTACGATAAACAGCATAGTCTCGATTATCCATTTAATCGTTTAATAGAGAAGGAAAGTTATGCAGTAAATCGGCTTACAATCCACTAAAGATCGCATGCTAGCGCTGCCATCTAGAGTTGATTATGGCCTGGATAGGTTAATTAATGTCTAATTAATAATTGAGATAACATTTCAGGCCTAAAGAAAGACCTGTAATAGGCAGATTTAGCTCTTGCATAATGTATGTTTAACATTCTCTTATATAATACATCTTTAACACCATAACATAAATAACATTTAGATTATCTCGTACAAACGAATAAAAGACTTAGTTCGATAAAAGCCGTACAAAGTTATAAATCATACTTACTCTTTGAAATTCATCAAAATCAAAAGCCGATGCTGTTAACCTTTTATTGTTTCTCCAACAAATCATCATAGAGCGGTTTATATTAGATTTATAGAGTACGTGAAAGAGGTTCTCGGGTGGGTTAACATCCGGTGTATAGAACTCACAAACGGCACCAGTTAGGTCAGTTAAAGCATCCAGTATATTACCATATTCAACAGCTTGAAAAGTCTTTTTACATCTACAAAATCAAAATGACGTTTTTATACAGTAAGAAATCAAAATGGCGTTTTATACAGTAAGAAATCAAAATGGCGTTTTTATACCGTAAGCAGGGGATCACGTGGCTAAGTGGGCAAGACGCTGGCTCGCTAACCTGGAGAGCGGGTGTTCGATCCCTGCATTGGCCGAGAAAGTTCATACAGATTTTCCGGCGTGGTTTCCCCTTGTCAGTGATGCAGGACAGAGGCCTGACAAGGACAGCTGTCTAGTCGTTCTGATGGGACGAAAAACTTAAGTTCCGTGTACATATTGGCGTGCACGTAAAAGAACTCTTGGCAGTTGGAATTCGGTATAAGAGTAGTCCGTAGCGCCGCTGCCCGGGCAAAATTTCCCTCATAGCACACTGTATGGCATATGCCCGTCTTCATTAGCCCAGTTTAGGAGCAGAACAGTAGGACGTTAAACCCCATTTCATTTCATTTATCCCGTCAGCAATCAAAATGACTTTTTTATATAGTAAGCAATCCAAATGGCTTTTTTATATAGTAAGCAACTGGTAGTTGTTAACAGTAAGCAATCAACATGGCATTGGATTACAGTAAACCACCAAAATGGTAGTTGTTTACAGTAAGCAATTAACATGGCATTGGATTACAATAAGCAACCAAAAATGCCATTGGATTACACTAAGCAACCAAAATGGTAGTTGTTTACAGTAAGCAATTTATAATGGTAGTTGTTTACAGTAAGCAACCAAAATAGCGTTTGTTTACAGTAAGCAACACAAATGGTGTTTAATTATAGTAATCAACCATACTAGTAGTTGTTTATAGTAAGCAACCAGAATTGTGTGATTTTCTTTATGGTAAGCAACCAAAGTAAAGATAAATGTCGTTTCTTTACACTAAGCAATAAATATTAGTTCCTCTTATATTACGATTGCTTGAAGCTTCTATTGATTGTAAATCACTTTTTTTAAAATCTTTATAAAAAAGTATTAATACTAATAATTTTTCACACACAAACTCCCACAAAAAATTATGGATGCGCATGGCGGCATTACTTACTTGGCATAAGCTTTTTCTACCAGTGGAGCCCAGAATTCTGGTGGTGAACCAAAAGCCGAACAGAAGAAATAAGTATCGTTAAGTATGGGTAAAAAGTCGTCAGTTATAACCTCCACCCAGTCGCCAAATCTCCACAGATTGAAATGAAAAGCACCTGCAATGAATTTGACATTTTACTTACCAAACATCAAAACAAACATCTCATTTAATTCAAGTATATATAGGGGGCTGCGCTTGCTTAGTGAGTGGGGCGCTGTATGACGGAGGGTTTGGCAAGTACAGCGTCTAGTCGTTCAGATAAGACGACACGCCAACCGAGGTCACTTCTATGGTTTATCCATAAAATTGTGTCAATCAATGGTTTATCCATAAAATTGTGTCAATCAAAGAAGAAAGTAATTTATTAAACCTACCTATATATTTACTATCAAAGTTCTGTTCAAAATTCCTGTAACCTGGGATTATCCTCTCCATTAATTTTAATCCCAGACTAACGACATTTACAGCACCGTGGAACCAGCCCCGCTGTTTCCAAGTCTTCCAGGGAAAATCCTCATTACAGACGCCGCCCACTCCAACTAAAACGGGACTTGTTCCGTCGCCAGTTTTTACTATCTCCTGAAGAAAAAACAGATTTGATTTTACACGCGTATAATTGACCAAACTGGCCAGCAGTAAATATTTGCTAGACCGCTTCCATCACTGAAAGGGGAAACACCGGGGTGGGTTAAATAGCTCCGAATATTAACTTATTTCTTCTGCAAATTAAATTATAAATCAATGTTATAAATTATTAAAAAAAGAAATAAAGTTGCTTGAAGTATATTTGGATAAAAAAAATCCCATTTAGTGTAAATGAGTACATTAAATAGTCCGCGGAGGCGGTAAAAGGCACGAATTCTGCACGGGTCAGTTTGTATTACTATGTCCCTGTAAAAAATGTGCGTGTTATCAAAGCCGTATGATGTGACGCCACCCGTAGACCTATACAGCACGTGATCTTAGGTAATTTATCTTGTTCAGAGTTAAAAGAAGGCTATCGCATTACCACTGTGAAACAGATTTATAACGGACAGGGTCACAAAATTAGCATTTAAAGTCGCGAATTGGCATTTGCATTTATTTCAGGAATAATATCTAATATCTAGGGGATCACGTGGCTAAGTGGGTAAGGCGCTGGCTCGCTAGCCTGGAGGTCGGGTGTTCGATCCCTGCATTGGCCGAGAAAGTTCATCTCGATTTTCCGGCGTGGTTTCCCCTTGTCAGTGATGCCCTCCGACAAGGACAGCTGCCTAGTCGTTCGGATGGGACGAAAAACCGAGGTCCCGTGTACACATTGGCGTGCACGTAAAAGATCCCTTGGCAGTTGGAATTCGATATAAGAGTAGGCCGTAGCGCCGCTGCCCGGGCAAAATTTCCCTCATAGCACACTGTATGGCGTATGCCCGTCTTCAATTAGCCCAGGTTAGGTGCAGAAGAGTAGGACGTTAAACCCCCATTTCATTTCATTTCATTTCTAATATCTAATTGCTCATAGATGTATTATTTAAGAGATAAATCTGCCTGTTGCGTGTTTTTACTTTGGCTTCAAATGTTATAACATTTATTCACATGACAAGTCTAATCAACTCTTTATACCGCTTTTATAGGGAATACGTCGGATGTGAGGTTTGTATGAGCCTAATTGGTTTATAACACTTCAAAGTCTTGGGGAATAGATTCTAACAACCTGTCTTTCTACCTGAATAACGAGCTATTTCTTATTCGCGAATAACAAACCACGAACTCTGGCCTCTCATTTTTTATTGTGACTTGACGTAATTCATTAAAGAGTAGCTGCATGTTTAATGATATTTATTTTTTATAAAACAAAAGTAACAATGCCGCTTAAAATATACATATACATAAAAATACAATAACATCCTGCCACAATCTGCTAACCGTAACTATATAAACACACTAGTTACCATGGTGATAATAAGCGCTGTAGGACGAACTGCGACAATCACTCGCATTTGCAAACATATATATAAATATATTTAAAGCGACATATCGTCAAGCCAAAATTATGTGTCCCCTTAAAATTGTGTACTTCTTTGTCAGATTGCGGGACAGATATGCGATGCATTTTCATATAGACTACACCTGGCACGACTTCCGGTATGGGGCGTTCACATTTTTGGACGAATATCTGTGATAAGAGGGAATAAAATTTGGCTTAAAGTCTGCTATCTGCACCAAGCGGGATAATATAGACGGACATACGCCAGACAATGTGCTGTCGGGGAAATCTCGTTCAGGCCATGGCTTACTTTTATTTGGGAATCAAACTGGCATGAGTTACTTCACGTTAGCTGTTTGTAACATCCGAACGACTAGACGAGGTTCCTTGTCAGATCATCTAGATATGTGAGTCGGCGCCTTACTCACTGAGCCACCGTGGCTCCTCGACAAATCTATGTCAGTCCTTTATAGAAGTGAGGCACATACACATGGTTGCCTTGAAAATTTTTTTATAAATCTAAGCACTGAATTATTCAGTCCCGCTATTTTATTTCACTTGATATTTCAAATGGAATGGGTGTAATCAATAATCTGTCCCGTGGGTCTCATCGACTGGTATCACGTGACTAACACTCACCATATACCTTACAGTGAACATTGATGCATTATTTGTGGGGGGGCCACGTTGGCTCAGCCAGTACAACGTGGCGGACTTCAATTCCGTGTCTTTCGATTGGTCAGACGACTGGGTGTCCACTAATGCAAGTGACAGTAATTCGGTTCATCTCGTTCTTTTCCACTGTATTTCCCCCACATCTGACACGCCTTGTTGAAATGAAATGGGGTTTAACGTCCTACTTTTCTATCTGGGCCCGGTTCCTAGAAAATTCTTAAAGTAAGCAAAAAGTCATGCTTTACTTTTTTTTACGTAAGAAACTTATAAAAATACCGTCCCTAGAAAATTCTCAAGACCATTCTTACGTAAGCACAAGTCAAGTATAAGTCTAAGCACATTGTGACTGGTAAACTGAGACTACGATGCTCTTTAACGTCATAATAACAACTTTGGTATGCGAATTACGTCATAAATATGTCGTCTGCTTCATTGGCGTCATATATATGGTTGATTTAGATGCATTTGACATGTCCCCTATACACGTATATAATGTACCACAAGATAAAAAAGGAGACACATACAAACTAACTGAATAATTGTGAGAGCGCCTGATCTTAAAGTAGCCTGTGTGTTTGTAGCCTATTGTTTACTAATTGGCAAATAAATAAAATGGTTTCAGGGTAGAAGCGAAATTTTCTATAGGCCCCCTAGCATTCTTAATTTCTCCTGGAGAAGGATTTTCTCTGTCTTGTAATAGTCTCTTTGGTATCAAAAGGTGTCGGAAATGCCGTCGAATAACTCTACGGTCAGCCATCTTTTTCAAGCAGAAACAGACTTAAGGTTGGTAAGCAAGCCGTATACCTTGCTTGGGACTTGTGCTTAGATTGACTTTGTTTAAGAACGAAGTTGTGCTTACGTTTTTTCTTGGAACGCATAATAACGTTCTTGTGCTTACAATGAAGTCTACTTAAAATCTAAGCACAAGAACGTTCTTAAGAATTTTCTGGGAACACAAAATAAGGCAAGTTTACTTAAATGCAAATTCTACTTAAAATCTAAGCACAAGAACGTGCTTAAGAATTTTCTAGGAATCGGGCCCAGGTGTTGCTTTCATACACTTACTACTACACCAATATTATCTTAGTCCCGAAATCAGTTAGCTCCTGTTTTCATTCTCTCACACGCCAAACCATTCGAGACTTTTATGTTTTTTCCTCTGGTTTTCCGGTTTCCTCCCACTTCTAACGGGCTACCCCTGAGTGAATGAATAACTTATGTTAGCTAAATTGGACGTTAAACTCCTGTTTTCACTCTTTGACACGCCAATCTACTTTTCCCTTGGGGTTTTCCGATTTCCTTCCACATCTAACGAGCTCCCCTCGAGTGAATCAATAACATCACTAACATCAATAACATAAAGAAATCACTTTGTTAATAGCGACGCTTACCACCCTATACCCAGTGTTTCTCTCTATACATATACGATTATTTCGGTGATATGTCTATTTAATTAATTATTGAGCGTATTAATTAAAATTAGTCGTCAATCGAGAGTTCAACGATTTGTCGTCTAATATAATATATGGATTAAGAGAGAGAGAGAGAGAGAGAGAGAGAGAGAGAAATGGGGTTTAACGTCCACTGGACACAAACTAGGTCATTTTGAGTAGGGGTCTTTAGCAGTGGGAGGAAACCGGAGGACCCGGAGAAAACCCACGAGGTTGGACAGGCGACCCTACTCCTTGTCACGTACAACCGAGGATTTGAAACCACGCCAGTCGACTCAATGACAGACTTTATGATAAAGCGCGCGCACGCTAACCATTCAGCCACCCAACTCCCCCGAGAGAGAGAGAGAGAGAGAGAGAGAGAGATATGTGGTTTAACGTCCACTCGACACAAACTAGGTCATTTCGGGATTAACATGTGGTTCAATTTTATTTCAATAATTCGCTTTCGGCGCAGGGGTCTTTAGCAGTGGGAGGAAATCGGAGGACCCGGAGAAAACCCACGATGTTGGATAGGCGACCCAACTCCTTGTCACGTACAACCGGGTAATCGAACCCACGCCAATGACAGACCTGATGATACAGCGCGCACACGCTAACCATTCGTCCTTCCAACCCCCTATATGGATTAAGACTAGTAATTATCTCTCCGTTGAAGTTTGTCTAGTATTATTTATAATATTCCAATTCTCTTAAAGGCAAAATACCACCCTTGTTGTAACTGAATAATATGTCCCAATCTTTATTCTGGTCAACAAATTGTACTATTTTACAATATTCCAATTAATTGATGATACAAATTTCATCTTAACACACCTAATTTAAAAAAAATTGGAAAAATTCAACTAAATGATTTGAAAAGCCTTACGTAAAGCTTTTCAAATGTGACTTGGATTTAAAAATATTTTTGAACCCTTTGGACAAGTAAAATAGGATTTAATGGATAATTTACACAACAGGTGGGACACTAACACATCTAGTACTTAGAATAAGGCTATTTTTTATTTTCTGGAGCTGTCAAGCCAGCAAGAGTGTTATTGTCCCTTTAATACGTACAACCATAATATAATATATGGATTAAGTCCAGTAATTCTCTGTCCGTTGTATGCGGTGTTAATTCCATGAAGTTTCATGGCCTATTACTTATATTTTAATATTCTAATGCTCCTTATCTGTTTAACCAGAAAAAAATGAAATGAAATGAAATAGGGGTTTAACGTACTACTGCTCGTATACTGGGCTAATGAAGACGGGCATACGCCATACAGTGTGCTTTTCGGGAAATTTGGCCCGGGCAGTGGTAATATGGCCTATATCGAATTCCAGCTGCCAAGGGATCTTTTACGTCCTGCATCACTGACAAGGGGAAACCACGTTGGAAATACCGATGAACTTTCTCGACCAGCGCAGGGATTGAACACGCGACCTCCAGGCTAGCAAGTCAGCGTCTTACCCACTTAGCCATCGTGGCTGCCCTAACCAGAAATAACCAAACAGGTCTCAATCATCTAATAAAAATATCAAACGGGACTCTATCTACACACGGTTTAAGGAATCTGGCGCGCGCCCAAGTCTTCCAGGGAAAATCCCCGTTATAGACTCCGCCGACTGCATCCAAAACGGGACTCGTTACGTCGCCAGTTTTTACCATCTCCCGAAGAAAAGCCAAATTTGATTTTCCAAGCATATAATTGACCAAACTGGCCAGCAGTAAATATTTGGTTGATTGTGTCTATAACTGAAAGGGGAAACACCGGCCGGGTTAAATAGCTCCGAGTTTTAAATTATTTTTTCTGCAAATTAAATTCTAAATCAATGTTATAAATTATTAGAAAAAGAAATAAAGGTGCTTGAAGTATATCTGAATAAAAAATATTTCCATTTAGCCTATATGGGTACATGAAATAGTGTGCAGAGGAGTTAAATGATTAAAAGACGCCAATTCTGTCCGGACCAGTTTGTATAACTACGTTCATGTAAACAATACTGGGCGTGGCATTAAAGGTCAGTCATCTTGTTCAGAGTTAAAAGAAGGCTTTCGCATCATTACCATTACTGAGAAATTGATAGGGTCACAAAATTTATATTCAAAGTCGCGATTTGGCATTTGCATAATTTATTTCAAGAAAATATTTAATCTTTAATTGCTTAAAGATGCATTATCCAAAAACTGAATCTGTCTGTTGCATGTCTTTGATTTGGCTTCAAATGTTATATAACTTAGTATTTAGATATTTATTCACATGACAAGTCTAATCAAATCTTCATAACGCCTTTATAGGGAATACGTCGGATGTGAGGTTTGTATGAGCCTAATTGGTTTATAACACTTCAAAGTCTTGGGAAATAAATTCTAACAACCTGTCTTTCTACCTGAATAACGAGCTATTTTTATTCGCGAATAACAAACCACGTACTCTGGCCTCTCATTTTTTATTGTGACTTGACGTAATTCATTAAAGATTATCTGCATGTTTAATGATATTTATTTTTTATAAAACAAAAGTAACAGCGCCGCTTAAAATATACATATACATAAAAATACAATAACATCCTGCCACAATCTGCTAACCGTAACAACTATATAAACACACTAGTTACCATGGTGATAATAAGCGCTGTAGGCCAAACTGTGACAATCACTCGCATTTGCAAACATAATTATATAAGCGACATTCCATCAAGCCTAAATTGTGTGTCCCCTTAAAATTATGCACTTTTCGTCATTCTGGACATTCAGGGACAGGTATGCGATGCATTATTATATACACCTGGCACGACTTCCAGTATGGGGCCTTCACATTTTTTGACTAATATATGTGATGAGAGGGAATGAAATTTGGTTTGTAGTCTGCTATCTGCACCAAGCGGGATAATATAGACGGACATAAACCAGACAATGTGCTGTGGGGGAAATCTCGTTCAGGCTACAGCTTACTTTTATTTGGAAATCAAACTGGCATGAGTTATTTCAAGTGCACGCTAACGTGTACGTTAGCTGTTTGTACCATCCGAAGTACTAGGCGAGGTTCCTTGTCAGATCCTCTAGATATGTGAGTCGATGCCTTACTCAATGCTCTTAATCTTTTTAACCAGAAAGAACCCAACCTGCCTCAATCAGCCAATAAAAATATCAAACAGGATTGACTGTTTCTAGTTTCTATATTCTACGCATGGTCCCCCCCCCCCCACACACACACACACACCCGGGGTTTTATCTAAATTAAAGCTAGGAAATAAAACTTACCATGGGTCTTTTGAAGACAGTTTTCTCATATTTATCATCCCCACTGTAGACATAGGTTAGTGACGACCAATCAGGGGGGAAGGAGGGGTCTGTAAATAGATCCGACGGCGATAGGTATCCCCGACTTCTTCTCTTCTTATAAATACTCTCGGCTATTTTACTGAAATCCTGGTAGGGGATTTCCCCTGTTCTTCTGTTAGACATTGTGAAATGCTCTTATGACGTCATAGTTTAAAATGGGGTTTTCCAATTTTTTTTTTTGACACGCTGCGATCACTTGTAAGTTTTGTGATGTCACAAATTACTCCAAAGAGATGTCGCATAGGTTTAAACTGAATGACATTTGTCACAAAGTTTTAAAGAATGTCCGAGAATAAAGTTATTCTGTTGTATCCGGATTTATTAATAATATCCTTTTTGTTTCTGGAAAACTATCTTTGTTTCTTGTTTTTTTGAGACATCCATATATAATAACATACCTCTGTTTGCTATCAAGACTATCGGATTCTCAAGTCTGAAAAAGAATCCTAACTAAAACAGACACAGAACATTGGCGTACATCTAATGGAGACTTCGGATTACTATCTCCTTGTTGTCTTGTTTTATTTTTAGACTTTCACATAATAGGCTATAATAAAATGTACCATAGTCTGAATGGGATTCTACTTAACAACGTCACAGAACATCGATATGGTGCACATGATGGTTATGAAGACGTAATTATTACGGCAACAAATAGTCACTACAACGTCAAAGATTATTAATCGACTAACGGGTCATATTGATTCTAGAAAAATCCACAGAACGAATCAGTCAAACTGTCAAACTCCATGACGTGTTTCCAACAAATCGCAGTCCATTGTGCACACCCTAAACTGCGATATTAACACTGATTAATGCAGCATTTAATCCAGTAATAGTTTCGATTTCTACCATTTGGTCTGTGTGTCCCCCATCTCAACAAAATTACATGCGGGAGTGATAATAGACGAATCTGAGCACCTGTTACCCAGTCGTTAATACGCGGTAATTATTATCATTTACAATTGTATACCTCAATATCGATTTGTTGCGTAATACGTATTCTATTTTGTCGTTCACACCCCTCGTGACGTCACAACACTATCAATACAACCATTATCTATCTCCACATGCTTATAACAAGTATTGATTTTTTTTTTTTACAAACTTTCCTTTTTACATTTTGTCCCTGAAAATAGAAAATAAATTTATCATCAATATTGCTTTGTTAGAGTCCAGTGGCGTGGGGATCGTTGTTGATTTTTCATGAAGAACAAAATAATTAAACATTCCAGTATATTCTGGCATTGAGTTACTGGATATGTTTGATGTCACCAGTTTACACATTGCTGTGTACATACATGTATATACTTTGTTTTTAGTTATATTTTCATATTTTATCTTGGCCGAGAAAGTTCATCCAGATTTTCCAGTGTGGTTTCCGCTTGTCAGTGATACAGGACGGAGGGCCTGACAAGGACAGCTGTCTAGTCGTTCAGATGGACGAAAAATCGAGGTCCCGTGTACACATTGGCGTGCACGTAAAAGATCCCTTGGCAGTTGGAATTCGATATAAGAGTAGGCCGTAGTGTCGCTGCCCGGGCAAAAGTTCCCTCATAGCACACTGTATGGCGCATGCCCGTCTTCATTAGCCCAGTTTAGGAGCAGAACAGTAGGACGTTAAACCCCATTTCATTTCATTTCATATTTTATCATTGCTTGATAATGACTAGAGAAGCCCAGTCGAAACGTCGCTCAGTAATAAACAGTAAGTGAATTCCATAGAATTGTGGCCTGTATTTCAGTTCAAATTCTAAATGCCATTGAAACAATTTACTCATTGACGTGCACGCAAGCAAATTCAAAGACGGGAACGCCGCTACCTGGGCAAAGGACACTCGGCAAACCTCGGCAGATTCCGTTACTTTACCCTAGATGTAGGGTACTGAAATCTGCTGAGGTTTGCCGAGTGGGGCAAAGGAGTGACGTGCCCACCCCTTGTCGCCAACACTGAAACACGTCCCTCTCCTCGTTAATAAGTCGATAATACGAATGCGCGAGAGTTGTATAAATTTTGGCTGGACAAATTATTAGTTTGTGAATTCCTTATTCCAAAGCTTCTGTATATTGAACTACCATGTATAAACAGTGCAGTTTACGACTAAACACAACGATCAGAGAGAGAGAGAGAGAGAGAGAGAGGCAGGGGGCAGGGGGGAGGGAGGGAGGGAGAGAGGCGGGGGCATGAATTCCTGGAGAAAGCAAGTATGCTACCATCAATAACCAACGTAATAACAAAGATATAACACCTCATTTCATTATATCCCGGCCAATCTTGACCAGAACAATCCCGAGGAGATTCGGACGGAAAGAGATGATTGTAAATCACTACACGACAGGTACATAAAGTAATAAGTCTAATGAAGTGAAACCGAATTGTCTATAATTATAATTATAGTAATGTAAAACAAATCTCCCTTATAGATACCTTGAAATGCCATTAATACCATCTGATGTGCCTGATTGATGTCACCCGAGAAAATAAAGATGGAGAATTAAGATAAATGACTGGCGGCTATGTGACATCAACCTGCTACATGATTATTACTAATACCTATACTTTGTTAATTAGTTCTAACAAACAATGTTCCTGGTTACCCCAAAATGACTAGTCTTCGGATGGGACAAAAATCCAAGGTCCAGTAATTAAACAAATCTTCATGACTCCAATCTACTACATAATTATTACAAATACTTACATTGGTAATTGAAATGGTGTTTTACGTCCCACTTTTCTCCACGAACAAACATAATGGAGACGGGTATGGGCATATACCTTGCAGTGTTCCAGGAGCGAAATTTTGCCCGCTCTGTGGCGTTTTCGTCTACTGTTCTTCGAATTACAATTGACAAGGGTTCTTTTCCTTGCACTGTATTTGGTATTTCGTCCCATCCGAACGATTAGACGCAGTTTCTTGCCAGGCTTTCTTTCCTACATGGGTGGGGGTGGAAGAGGGGGGGGGGAATGATTAAAACGTGCGAGTTGCAGAATAGGGTCTGTCATTGACTCAAGTGGCGTGGTTTCGATACCCCGATTGTACGTGCCAAGGAGTAGGGTCGCGTGTACATCCTCGTGGGTTTTCTCCGGGTCCTCCTGTTCCGCCCACTGTTAAAGACCTCTACGCGCAAGCGCATTGAAATAAATATTGAACCATTATGCTAGTCCTGAAATGACCTATTCTGTGTCGAGTGGACGTTAAACCACATCTCTCTCTCTCTCTTTCTCTCTCTCTCTCTCTCCGATATCACTGAGCTAATCCCGAGCAACTTTCACGAGCAACACTTGGTAAACCAAGAACCTACTGGTTACCATGTCACCCTATAGCAGTATTTTTTAACAACTTTGTAAAATATGAAACAGGAAGTACTACATAATGGAGAGTTGACCTTGGTGTGATTATGATTGTTTGAGACGTAGTAATAAGATCCCGGTTATTATTAATAATTATAACATACCACGCCTGTCGTAGTGAATTATGTCTATATGCGACCGATCCTGTTACTTCGTGTTAGCTATTAATCTTATATGGGACCTTTTTATTTTCTATAAGTTAAACTCGGCCCAATTACCACATAGTCCACAACAAGAACAACATATAAGAGACGCGCACTCTCGATAATTGGTAATTCAAACCTCTCATTCTTTTTTTAAAGAAGCATGATTAACTATTCATAATTAACTATAACAAGACAAATTACCAGGTATATAGAATAACTATTTCTCTGTTTATTTAATAACGACGTTTCGTAATACATACAGGTAACATTTTGAAGAAAAACTTTATTTGGTAAGGATACCTGTATATGTGTTTTCCGGTATTCAGTATAACATGGTGTTTTCCGGTAGTTTTCCGGTACTTTTCCGGTGTTTTTCGGTTGTTTTCCGGTGTTTTCGGGTATATAGTATTGTCGCGTTTCTAAGAGTATTCTCTCAGCGTTTTCAAGCTAACTTTGAAAACGTTGAGAAAATTGAAAACGTTGAGAGAATTGAAAACGTTGAGAGAATACTCATCGAAACGTCGCCGAAATAAATCAGTAGCTGTTTTCCATAAGTATGTTTATAGTTTATTTAATATTGATGTTGTTATCTTGCCGTAACAATATGAGATAGGGTATAACGACCTACTGTTCTGCACCGACTGGTCTGTTGAACACGGGCACACGCAATACATTGGGCTAAGGACAATTTGACGGGTACACCAACGTGTACAGGGGACCTCGATATTTCGTCCCATCCGAAGGATTATACGCTGTCATTGTCATTAGTCCAGTCGGTTCAGAAAATTAGGACATTAAACCACATTTAATTTCTTTTCCCCGCAGCAACACGTCTATAAAATCCAAAGACATGTTACAACTTATCCAAAAGACAGACTCGACAGATGCGCTATATATGGATGATAAATCTACATTGATTGACAGGGTGGAGTTAATTGGTGATTAATAACAGGAGTATCATTAATTATGTGATATGTAATGACAGGGAAATTAGCATGGACTAAAGGAGATATATACGTCGTGTATTATTTCTACCCCCTCCACCCCCCCCCACCCCCCACACATAAAACACGCCTGACTTCTCTGGCAAGTTACTTAGTAACTGCGATATCACCTTCGGAGGAAGTGGGCGTGTTAAGCTCCACGAACGGTCAAGAAATGAAATGAAACTGGTTTAACGTCCTACTTTCCTGTACCAGATGAGATAAAAAAAAAACAGGATATATACCGTACAAAGTGGTATGAGTGAAATCTCGCCCAGGCAGCGGCGTTTCGGCCTACTGTTCATCGAATTCCAATTTCAAAGATAAGATAGTTGACCATGGATAAATTAGTAGTCCACGTGTAAATAAGATAGTTGACCATGGATAAATTAGTAGTCCACGTGTAAATAAGGTAGTTGACCACGGATAAAAAGATAATGGTTCACCGGTCGTGGACCACGGATAAATAAGAAAGTGGTTCACCGGTAAATAAGATAGTGGTCCATCTTTAAATAAGATAGTGGCCCACCGGTATATAAGATAGTGGACCATGGGTAAATAAGATAGTGAACTACCAGTAAATAAGATAGTGGTCCATCTTTAAATAAGATAGTGGACCACAGGTAAACAAGATAGTGGTCCATCTTTAATAAGAAAGTGGTTCACCGGTAAATAAGATAGTGGTCCATCTTTAAATAAGATAGTGGCCCACCGGTAAATAAGATAGTGGACCATGGGTAAATAAGATAGTGAACTACCAGTAAATAAGATAGTGGTCCATCTTTAAATAAGATAGTGGACCACCGGTAAATAAGATAGTGGTCCATCTTTAATAAGTAAGTGGTTCACCGGTAAATAAGATAGTGGTCCATCTTTAATAAGAAAGTGGTTCACCGGTAAATAAGATAGTGGTCCATCTTTAATAAGAAAGTGGTTCACCGGTAAATAAGATAGTGGTCCATCTTTAATTTAAAAAAGGTGGTTCACCGGTAAATAAGATAGTGGTCCATCGGTAAATAAGGTAGTAGTCCATCGGTAAATAACATAGTGGACCACGGGTAAATAGGATAGTGGATCACAGGTAAATAACATAGTGGACCACGGGTAAATAGGATAGTGGTCCATTGGTAAATAAGATAGTGGACCACGGCTAAATAAGAAAGTGGTTCGCCGGTAAATAAGATAATAGTCCACAGGTAAATAAGATAGTATAACTTTTGGGTGAGAAAAAAAAACACACTTTCAGTTTTGGTATGGATTTAAAATATACCAAATTATGACCAGCTACATATCCATTGCATCTTAG